GACGTTTGTAGTGCTGAATGTCGATCAATACGTTGGGCGCGGTGGTAACCCGCTTGAACGACAGAATCAGGGTAACCACGTTTATCGAAAAACTGGCACATTGACTCTGATTTGTGGTGGAAATCAGAGTCATCACTACATAAACGACGAAGTCTTAGAAACTGAGAAAAAGGAATGGAATTCTTAACGTGAGATGGATGCGAAGACGAATACAACAAGTAATTATGCGAGTCTGTAGGTTTGTAATACACACTAGTGCATAAACCGTTGCCTTCAATTGAAACTTTGATGTCTAAAAAGGATAAAGAATTGTCAGAAATTTCCCAGGTATATTTCAGAGTCGGGTGAAAAGAATTGACTGCGGTTATAAATTGAGTCAGCTCCTCTCTGGTAGAGGAGGTGGCGCCGATACAGTCGTCGATGTAGCGACCGTAGAGTTCAGGTTTGGAGCCGTTGTATTGGCTGAAAAATTGGTGTTCGACAAAACCTACAAAAAGATTGGCATAACTAGGTCCCATTTTGGTGCCCATGGCTACACCATTGGCTTGTTTGAAAAAGTTGTCCCCGAATGAAAAACAATTGAGTGTGAGAACTAGTTCGGCTAAGCGTCGTAGTGTTCACCCAGGCAAGAGTAGAACTGAAAAGGGCTGTTGTCGATGGACATTGTGGAAAAGTGCTTGAGATTCTGGTAATCAAGCCTGGTCAACTGGGCTGACTTGAAGAGACCCATTAAGGTTCCTCATTTTTTTTTTTTATACTTTCTTTATTGTTGTTAATCTGAATTTTTAAATGGAAGCTCCTCAAGTGACTCCCCGTGGTTTTAGCTAATTCCAAACTAGGAATTTTGTAACCCGATGGTTCTGAGTTTGCCTAAGCTCTAATGGTTATTATATTTTCATCAATTTTTTTTAACATTCGTTGCAACCATCCTTAGCATATGGTCCATGATAATTTTGAAGTTATGTGTGCGTAGTTATAGTGAAGCAGTTGCTGTTTTAGTTATAGCACAAGGCTCGATATTTAATATTAAGTAAGTGGGGGCACTTAAATGTTCCTCGAATAAAGGGAAGGAGGGAAATATTTCCTTTCTGAGCAATTGCAGTTTTATGAAGAAGTGTCAAGAGCCTCAAATACTTGTGCAAGAAGGGGGTAATGCTAAATTACTGTCAAGTAGTTTACCTCGAATTCTGTGATGTTACATGTAAACCAGGATACCTACACTTAAGGTGTATTTTATATTTTTCTTAGTCTGCCGGGGATTGTATAAAGAGACCAATCTCACGTGGTAGTATCTTCTGAAATAGTATATCCTTGCGCTTATTTATTATGGGTAGGTCCTACAAATTTTGTACAAATTTTCTTAAATAATTATATTGCTAAGTTCAAGATTGGTAGGAGCCTGGTGCTACTCTCTTGAAATCAAAGTTTCTTTTTTTTTTCTACCACTATGACTTTTTGGGTATAATCACCAATCTCGTTCCCGGTGTGCTTTTCGCTCCTAATGCTTGCACGTCCCTCCCAGAAAGGCGCTTTGGGAACATCATTGAAACTTCGCCATAAAAAGTTTGATAATTGAATGTATTTTGCATTGAATTTTTCTCTGGTATTTATTGTTATTAATTACTTTGTAGGGTGACACAGATTTTTAATGTATTTATAGTATGTCCCATTAGTCTAATAAATATGTCATTGCGAACAACATAGACTGTTCTTGATATTTATCTAGCGTAGAATTAAGTTGAAATGACGGTTGTCAATTACATGATACATAAGTGTTGTTGAACTACAATTTACTTCTTTTTATAGGAAGTACTATAACTCCATCCTGGTTTAAATTTGTCTTGCAAGTCATAAGGGGTTGCATCGGTGTTGTCATACCACTTCCTGTGATTGGTCAACAAACCTACGCTATCCCCTCGACTAATCAGAAGAAAAAAACCGAAACCTGCCTACCCACGTTTTCCCGCCCTTTAGGGCTTCTGCATGCATGGGTTCTTCTTGGTTCCTTTGATGTTTCTCTATTTTGCGCACCGTTGTGAATACTTTGGTTCTGTGTAGTACAAGTTTTTCTCAGCCCCAAGCACTCCAAAAGATTATAGTGACTAAGAACCTTACTTAGTGTGTAAACTTCAACGTTGAACCATGGTACTCAGAATTATTCCCTGTGCCTAGGGCAAAAACATTCAGCTTTTTTCGTTTCACCATGACGACTAACAAGTGCAGGTATTGTATACATATACTGCAGGGGGCCGCGGAGCAAGGTGTAAAGTGGGAGGGGTGGCAATTGAAAATAATTTTTCATATTGAAAATCGAAAAAAGGAATAACATCATAGGAATTATGTTTCGTTTTAGCACAAAAAGTAGGGGCGGGGGGGCAAAAAAGAGGTGAGGCCGCGGCCCTACCAGCCCCTCCCCCTCTGCGGCCCCTGTACTGTAGTGTTTTTTTTGTTGTGTTTTGTTTGATTTTGGTTTTTTTTTTGCGTCTAAACATATGTAGAGGCTACTTTAAATTGAATCAAAACTTTCGTTTATAAGGTAAAAATATTTTCTCAGAATTCCATTTGCTACGTTTAAGGACCTGTAAGAAGCATGGTAATCGATTTATTTGTCGATTCACTTCTTAAGTTAGGGTAAAACAAATTTAACATATATGTACAAAAGCTAATTATAAAATCGCGCACGCTAGTCCTATCTAATTCCTATTGCGTCAACATGAACAAAATCTTTATGTACGCACGGCCGTGCTCATTAAAATGACGTGTACAGTTTCAAAATAGCTGCAGAATTTCCGTCCTGTGAGTTCCAGAAAGCGATATTAGTAAATCGAAGACCAACCAAATTTTTCTTTGGCTTTCGACCTTCCACAAAGTAGTCAAGCTAACAACCACTACGAAAACGAAACACAACAGGCCCGTTTCCCGAGTTTATCGGAACATGAGATGGAGAAAATTTTAGCTGAAAGACATTCAGCAAGAACTAAGAAGACTACAAATTGGTCTGTGGCGAAGGTATATTTATATAAGGTAAACGCCTCTGCTGATGACGTTTTTTTGGGTTACATTTGTTAACCCTAACGAAAACCATGTTGGCGTCTCCGATTGTTTCGTTGATTTTGTAAATTACAAAATCAACAAAACAATCACAGACGCCAACATTTTCGGGCAACTTTCATTTCAAAAAACATTACAAAAACGTCAATCAGCGCCCAAATTGTTTTCGCATGTTATAAAAGAATTGTTTCATGCTTATAGCTGTGCGTCTATCGAGTTATGGATGCACTTGGGAGTTTAGTTTGGAGAGCACTCAAGAAGCTAGAGTTACTCTCGGCTGCGCCTCGATCAACTCTTACGCTTCTCTCATGCTCTCCAAACTCCCCGCGTGCATCCATAACTCGATAGACGCACGCTATGCATGAAACAATTCTTAAACGTAAAACCACATTTCTTATATTCAGCCGCTAATTCGCCATGGTCCTGGTTTTAACAACGTTTTACTAAAACGTCGAAAACAAGAAGCAATTTTAGTTTAACATTAACCAGTCAAAATTGAAAAAAACGTCAGTACTGAAAGTAATATTGTCATATCGACTGAATTTGTACTTTCTCGATGGTCAAATGTGTTCGAATTCATAGCTATCCTAAACTGTGTCTAATAAACACTTGATCTGCACTGACTATATGAAACAAAAAACTAGGTATTGAAACATCTACGTTTCCAGTATTCGAGAAAGTTTTCCTCGATGAACCTTAAACCGCGTTCTGCCTCTTTTGGTGCGTTTTAAAACCGACTGACTTTGAATAAGGGCTGATAGTTTCGAAAGAAACTGTTTGGGGCTGCGTCGGTGGGAGTAACGAAATAATTTGGATATATCAACTAAGATGAAGTGGGAAATTGGCCACCGTAACGATTGCAAAGGCTGAAGTTTCGAGCGTTAGCCCTTCGTCGGAGCGAATAGAGGAATTGTGGGTTGTGTGTGCTTTTAAAGGCAGAAAATGGAGCTACGTGATTGGTGGGAACATGGCAACGAGAAAAACACGAATAAATTAGTCCGTTGATCCCTGTGGGATTTAGAATGCCGGTTTGAAAGATGAGCTTTTGTTCAAGAGTTTTACGGCTTTCCGTGCTACCTAAGTGTAGGGAAAGACCGCAGATTGCCATATGTTGCTTAGAATGATTAGGTAAATTAAAATGTCTAGCGACTGACTTTGCACCGATTAAACGTCCGAGTCCTCTGAGGGTGAGCTTTTCTTATGTTTGAGAAATTCCTCAATTTCTGTTTCTTCGTTATATGGGCCAAGTCAATCGAATCCTTTCCACCCACTTTCAAGTTGACGTCGGCGTTGAGTTCAATCAGCTTTTTCACAACTTGAACTTTACCATGTATCGCTGCTAAATGCAGAGGTGTGAAGCCATCTTCATCGCATCCATTTATGTCAGCATTGTGTTTTTCCAGCAGTTCTACAATCTCGGAACTACCATTCTTGCTCGCAAAATGAAGTACGGTAAGGCTGTGTATGTCATGAAAGGTGATTGCTATCTCTCTAATTTCCTTTCTTAAGCTCTCAGGAGGGTCCTTTCCCCATCCAGATTTGAGGACTTTTCCAAAGTCTGCAACATCGAGACTTCCATCCTCAGTCCGCCTCAAGAACACGGGCAAACGAGCTTTCTGTACAAGAACATAATGCCAGACTGGTTTTCCTCTGTCCTTCCCACGAATCAAGTAAATTCTATGCTTTGCATTCTCCTTGTATTTCATATTCACATCAGCGTTGCTTTCAAGTAAACATTTGACTAAGTGCTTATGTTCAAGTTTGGCGGCCAAGTAAAGTGAGGTTTTTCCATACTTGTTCCGCAAGTTAATGTCGCATCCGCAATCAATCAGAAGCTGGGATATACTTAGAAACCCACTGCTTACACAGCATTGCAATGGAGTCCATCCGTTTGGATCTTGAATATTCACACCAGCTCCATGCCTCGACAGAATGTCCGCGGCCATGTAGTTGTTCCAAGTAGTTGCTAATCTCAAAGGTGCAGCCTTGTCGTCTGTCCTCTGAGCATTAACGTTAGCTCCAAGATCAATAAGGGTCTGGATAAACTCACCAGAGGATGATAGACTTTCCCACAGCAACGGTGTCCGGTTGCTTTTTCCTGGTATATTTATATCTACACCCTCGTTTAGAACAATCTCCACAGCCTTCTCTGCATCATTCTTGCATTTGCATAGGTGCAGCTCAGTTAACGTATCGATTATCTCAACGATCTCTTTATACAGCTTTTCTATTTCAACATTTCCTTCTCCCTTTTCTTGCAGAGCCAAGAGAATTTCTAACCCAGTTTTTCACGGAAAAGCCTTTGCTTGGTTTCCTGTTTTTGGAAAACTCATGTCTTGAACATAGTTACTAAGATAGACATGAGTTTTCAAAACCGTGTCGTAGTCGCCATGAAATACAGCCGCGTGCAGACGATTGAAGCCGGATCGTGCATCTACTTGCAGGAAAGCTTTTTTTGAAAGGGATCTGAGGCTAGACTGTAATGAAAAATAATGTACAGTAAATCAGCGCAGCAAACGAACAAACTAGTACAAGACTGTTATAAGATGGACTTATTGAAACGAGTTCCACCTAGATTTAAAACTATGATCTAGTCCGTAAGTTAAAAGTTCTTGTTTGAAAACACACGACTCGCTAATGTTGGATCACACCCATTGGAGATCAATAAAAATTGGTTATCTTCCATATGAATCTTTCACTTCCTAATAGGTTTCGCATTTGAAAGAAACAACAACAATCAGCCAAATGATTGAAAAAAAGTAAAAGGAGTTCACAACTACTAAAAGACACGACACATTCGGGAAGAATCTTTCGACTGATATTTGCTAAAAAAAGCGCCAAAGGATAAATCTCCATCTGATGAATGGCGCAGTACGTTTTATCGCTGGATAGCGATTTATCCGTCAGATAGCCTCCTCTGCCTTTTGAACAACTGGGCCCTGGAGACGGATCGCGCCACGCGCACGAGGACGCAGACGGTCGAATACGCCAAGGCAGATCGAAGTTAAATCTGAACCTTCTACAAATTTTGAAGGCTACGACGAACCGGAAATAAACAAGGTAGGTGAAAAAAAGCTTTTCCTTGACCAAAATGACATAACCTGTTCCCAATCTGTGGGGTTACAAATCATGGCATGCTTTATTACCGTGCCGGTTGATTGAAACTGGGAATCGCAGTATTCCTTACAAGCAGGTCAACTATGGTTCGGTGATTGTTTCGATCAGCTTTTTGTAGAGCTGTCTTCTGAAACTGAAAGATTAAAAGATCACTTAGGTCAAAAACAGTATAGTGCAGACTGACAACTAAGACAGTAGTGACTACAAACCGAACTGGAGGACGAGCATTCCTGAAGGAGGGAAAAATATGACCGAGGAGTATTTTTGTTATGCTCCTCTTTGGAAAATCAAACCGCGTATCTGACAATTGATCATAGAGGATATTACATAGCTGCCCGGAGATGTGAAATTCCTCTTCTCTCATTGAAATATTTTCAATTCGATACGAGAAATTTTCGTATCTCCAAGCAGCCATATGACATTGCATTTATGATACAGACACCAATGAAAAACAAAACCATTTTACTTTCGCTAAGAAGACGCGATTTATTATGTAGTCATAGTAACGGTGTTATTTTCATGTTTGAAGATTTTGTACTTAGTGATTGAGCGGGAGGGCCGGACAGGAAAATAGTTGGCTCGAGATCATGGCGTACGGACGGAGCGCAGCAAGGTCCGTGCCTTATGACCGAGAGCGAAATATTTTCCTGCGCGGCACTCCCGCTCAGTCAATACGCATTTTATCGTATAACCACTAAGTGTTGAAAGTTTCAAACGAAATAGGACGTGGCATACGAGCACACGCAGCCACACGGCCACAAAAAAATTCCTGCCATGAAAAATTTTGCTTTATTGTTTCAATTCAGAACAAGAAACTCCTAATTTCAAGAAAAACGTAATTTTTTTTCCTCATTTCTGTTTCCTTAAAGATTTTGCAACAAAGCGAAGTGAGGGCAACAGGGCAGGACAAGTTTTTCCGGACTGGCACACGTCAACCCGTCATGCCCTGCACGTGTTTGCTTTTACTATGGTTTTCAAGGGGATTGCGCGAGTGGGTCCGGACGGGCCATACAATAATTATATCTTATTAGACGTTTTGTTGTGTAGTATGGCTGAGTATTTTTACGAGTTGTGCTGTATTTTGACGAGTCCGCAGGGCGAGTCAAAATACAAACAACGAGTAAAAATACTCAGCGATACTACACAACAAAACGTCTAATAAGAGATTTATTATCCAACATGCCAAATTGTTATTTCAGTGTGGAAGAATTTCGCGGATATTTCTGGAGTACAAATATCGCGTGATATTTGTACTCGTCTCGCGCGGTGTTTGTACTCTACGAAGCACAATTGGATGATAAAACATGTTATTATATAAGTACCGATATCTACTCAGTTCAAACTCACCGAATAAAAATCGTCTCTCTTTGATAAGAAGCAATCCCATTCAGTTGGCCATACGATTGTTTTCATTAGTGAAAAATATCGTATGATCAATCAGAAGCCTGCTTGTCCAGAATCATGGCTTCAAGGTTTGCAGATATAAATTCAGTGGAACAACCTATCGAGGACCAAGAAAACGAAAATACAAGAAAGAAAACTTTTTCCCGCCTTAAAGGCGCCTTGACAGCATGATTAGGTCTACATCAAAGCGATATCAAGTTCGCGACTTCTTTGTCTTTTGTGGTCAGTTGACGGAGATTTCAAGTTAAAAACATTTGTAATACCTTAGTACTAATGCAATAGACAAATTGCTTCATGGTTAGTTCGCTTGTACGATTTTTATTCACTCGCTGTGAAGAATCACAAACTCACTCGCTGGAAGACTCGCTCGTTCGTTCGTTTGCGATTCTTCACAACTCGTGAATAAAAATCGTATATGCTCACCCACCATGAAGTAATCTACATTTATTTCATGTGTGAAGATATCACGTTTCGCGCAAAAGCTCACCTGGTAGTTCATTGGTGTTTATCTAATAATGGAATTTTCGACATGTTGTCAAATACACCAACACGATGGGCCAGAAACTTACCCTATCTACAGCATCGACATTTGCACCGTGCTGTAACAAAAGTTTTACAACAGCTCTCTGTCCATACCATGCGGCAAGGTGAAGAGGCGACAAACCAAACTGCAAAGTAAAGCCAAAGCATCGACCATAAGTTCAACCAATCACCTAAAAGTACCTAAATAGAAATAAGACAGACACCAGATAGTAAACTGAAAAAACCAGTAGATAAAGCAAACAACCTTGTCCGTTTGATCAACATCTTCACCACTTTCGAGAAGTATTTTGATGACGTCACATCGACCGTTGATTGCAGCTTTGTGTAGTGCCCTTCTTGATAACTGTAAGAACGGGATTGCTTTTTAGCAAATGACTCGTTAAAAGGTTGCGAGAAATCGAATATATATGTAGAATAGGTGTGGCTTAAATAAAGATTTACGGTTATTTTTGAAAAAATTCAGTTTTTTTCTTAAACGTAGCACAAATACAAATGTGCAGAGTATGAATCAATAGTCAAGCTAGAACTTGAGGTGCAACAAAGTGCACAATGTGCTGTGAGCAAAAACGTTTCAAACAAACCAATAAAATCAAAACATAACTCAAATCTACATATTATAAGGCATTGTAGTAATTTTTCAGTGGCCCTAATGGTCACAATGTTTTGATGGAAACGACAATAAAATGTCTAAGGACATTATTACTCCAACAGTTACTTTTGAAATGGAGCGAATTAAAAAACTCGCTACGCAAATTCCTAGTCTTCTTTTTATGGAGAAACAAGGAATGAATGGCACAGCATTCACATTTCATACCCGCTTGATGACGTTTCGTCGTGAACTTCAATGAACTAGTTTTGACATGTGAACAAATTCCACTTGGATGGGCAATTGTTTTGCATAAACTTTCTTTCCTTGGGATATGGCGTCACGTGATGTATCTCTCCTCATTAAGCTCAAATTTGGAATTACCTTATGCTCTCGAGTAGTCTAATACAATTTTTTTAAAAACGCTAACACATTCACCAAATCTTCATAGTATTATATCATTGGACTTACCTTGGCATTTTCAGCCCTAAGCTTGCAGTTCGATTCCGGATCCTTGCCCTAAAATCAGAGAGGCCGCAATGCAATAAATCAAATGTAACGTTATTAAAACAAGGTAGCAGCTATGGTACAGTCCGTCTAACGGGAGGCTACGGTAAAAAAAGGACTGGTACGGCAGACTCCGCAATCCTTAATTCGGAATGCGGAAAACTCAAGAAGGGTTTAAGGAAAAAGTTAGTCATTAACTGAAGAGTTTCAAACAGAAGAAGAGATCCTGAACAGATCGAGGAGCTTGAAAGTAAACAATATATCTAGCTGTCGCAAAGGAAATTTTGCATTAGGGAACAGCTAAGAATACCTAGATGCTAATAACTGTAAGTTTTTAAGTAGGGTTATCTGCAATGCCCTTTATTTTAGGAAAAATAAAAACAAAAAAATCATGAACGTCTCAGTGCTTCGAAATACTAAAGTTTCATTGACCAATCACGAAAACTGCTCGTATGGGGAACAATATTCTGCACGTACCACTTCAATACTACCAGCATTTGAAAACAATAACTTTAAAGCTTTTGACTATAATCTTTAGTAATGCTAAGGTTACCTTCATTTGTGTGTTGTGGATATCTTTGGATTTTAAAGTAGCATCGGTGGATGAAACGCTTGATCCCGATGGGTGAACGCTCCTACTGCTCTCTTGATTACCTTGGATTTCTGGATCATTTTATGATGAAGAAACGGTAAAGAAATAGACAAAAAACGTTTCAAGCCATCTTACATAGTTTGTAGCTCGAGATGTTGTGTTCTTAGGGGTTAGTCACCCGTAAAATTAGCTGAGTTCACTCGTGGAAAAGTGAATCTCGTCACCGAATAATATGTCACAACGTCTCTCGATCCGGTTCTGTAAATGCAACGCAACTTAAAACAATCGAATAAAAGAGTTCATCTTAAAATGTGATTTGGGTCAGGAAACAAGGAAAAAATAATTTACAAGAAATCGGGGGGGGGGGGAAGAGTGGGATTTTGTCTCCTTCGCAGCTGTTGTTCATACTCGTCAAGCAACGCGCTCTCTCCCCCACCAGGTCGAAGACTACTAGAGAAATTGGGCGTAAAGACAATTTAGTTTAAAAATCAGTCGAACATGAATTCAGAACCAGAAGAACAGTTTTCATCGTGTTCACACTAGAAAATAATTCATCCTTGTAACCAAGCTTACCTTGCAGCACACTTAAAACAACATCGACCTTTGCAGACAAGAGGGATGAATGCATTTCCATGATTTTCTCTATCTCGTCTCTCGTAGGTTTGGCATTTTGAAACTGTTCCATCAGGTCTTTCACGTCTTTATCAAGAATTAGTTGGAAACCTTGTAATGATAAAAACAGAATGTAGAGATATATAAATGTATAAAGAAATAAAATAAAATGAATTTGAAATATAAATAAATAGATCCATGAATGAATAAATAAAGACATTAAGAGATAAACACGCAAATAACCGAATGAATGGATGAGGGAATGAATGGATAATTCATCACTGGAAAGGATGC